CTCCTCTTTCACCCTTATCAAGAGGCTCTTTAGTTCCTCTTCACTTTCTGCCATTAAAATGGTATCATCTTCATAGCTGAGGCTGTTGATATTTTCCCCAGCAATCCTGATGCTAGTTTGTGATTCATCCAGCCCATCATTTAGCATGATGTACACAAAAGGTATACAATACGTCTAAGATTGTAAATGTCAGGAAGTAAGGCTCAACTGCTGAGCATAGAATCTGCTTCCTGGGTGCCTAACAAGCTGTTTGGAAATCTACTGGTTTTTTGGTTCGGAGACATGAATCCTGCTCTTCTCAAGTATCTGTTAGTGCTCCACAGCAAGTCAGTCAGCCTTAGGCAAAGACAGCCCATCTGCCTATGCAGAGTGCTCAAGAGACCTCTGAGGATTCAAAGGCGAGTTTCCCCGGTGGTTTCCCCTGACATTCAAGTGGTCACTTGGTAAGGGCACACTAACTGCTGAATTCCCCAAACCTGGGCCATGGTGCATCCTCCACTCTCAGTCCCTGCAACCATGTGCCTAGTTTAGACCACTGCTCTTTACTAGATTAGTGCTCATTCTCTCCACTTCCAGGCTTCCTTTACTACAATTCATTCTTTCTCCTGTAGTCAGAGTAATCTTACAAAAATGTAAATCTGATCAAATAATTTCCCCACTTAACACATTTAAGGCATCCCAATTACTTGTAGGCTGATATCTAAACTTCTTGGCCAGTCTGACCTACCCACATGCTGCACTTCTTCAGGGCTATAGTCACCATCAGGTGTTTTCTCCTGCTGTTTCTTCTGTTTGGAACTATCTTTTCCCTCCTTCCTTTTTTGGAGGGCCAACTCCTACCTCAGGTTGTAGACAATTTAAATAGCACCTCTTCCAGAAGACTTTCCTAATCCCTCAGGACTGGGTTAGAGCAGGTACTGGGTAAAGATTTGCTGAACAGATGAATAAATGAACTAAGTATAATAAAAGGCACATGCAACTTGACCTCTGAGGCAGCTGCCTAAGCAACTAAGTTGTGGATACTCACATGCCAAAAATTTTCCCACTTGCAAGTCTGAGCAAGTATCATTCATCAGACAGCCATTTTAAAAGGCAGCTAGGATTAGATATACATATTTTGGTGCAAAATTCATTAAAGTATGAAAAGGTTCAGTATAAAGTTTCTTCTTCCCTTCTCTGCCACCCTGAACCTTACTCCTCCCCAGAGGCAACCACTAACAAGCAGATTTGGGGTATGTCTCCTCAGACAGTCTATGCATATACAAATATAGAGGAATATACAAAACCATATTTTCTTAACAACTACTTCTACACTTAAAACTTCTATCCTCTAGGTTTTCAGGTATGGCCTAGACATGGTAATAGAATAAGACTTAGAAATCAAATGCAGAATATGTCTACTTTTGTTTATTCTATTTTAAAAAGGCTCTTCACATGCCTTGCTGGTCATAAGCTTTAACATTAAGATGGACCATCTGCACTCAGAGTGTCAGAGAAGCCTCCTAAGAAAGATGACACTGGTAGTGCCTGTGCTCCCATTCCCACTTAAAAAGGTCACTCTGGAGGCTGCGGGTAGGCAATGAGGACAGTCTGGGGAGCTTACTGCCAGAACCCCATGTCCTGGTGCAGCTACAGGAAGTGGCTGGGGCCTCTGGAACCTAAATAAGACAAGACTAGGCAGCCAGGCCCAGAATGTGGCACAGTGGGGAAGGAGGTAGGGTTCTAGAAGGGTCAGCACATTCCAGAGAGGGCAGTTATAAGAGCCAGCTCCTGCAAGGGTCCATGAAAGTCCCAGGGTGAAGACAAGAATACCTGTGGTGTATCTTGCAGTAAGGAGCCAGGAAAGGCTGAGAGATCTGCAAAGGCCCTTGGATTCTATTTAGTATCTTCTTGGGCAAAAGAAACTGAAGAGTCAGTCTAATGCAAACATGCCAACCCGAGCAGCATGCACCAGAATCACAAGCTCAGGCTTGGCCTGCCTGAGAAAAAGTTAGGGTCTAAGTCTCTGACAGACACCTTGCTCAAAGTCCTGTTTGCCCCACAAGTATCATGTAGACAAATCCTGTGGGCTTTGGATTCTAGGTCAGGAATTGGACATAGAAAAGGGGCTTTGCTTTATGGAGAAACAAGCAAAAGGATTATCCCCAGCATTCCTTAGTCCAGCTATGCAAACTGCTACCTGCCAAGAGGAAATGCCATCATTAAGGCAAGGTACAGCAGTTATCTGGAGCACAAGGTGAAGAGGTCATCGTGGGCAGTTTCATTCTGCTTGGGCCATCCTTCTGCTATGTACAAAGGAATGGATACTTGGATTTAGCCAATGCCTCACGAGTCGGCTGTGAGTGAGCAGGCAGCCTGGCCTGGCCCATTCCCAAGAGTGGAGAAACATCTCTGAGGTCTGTTTGACCATCCCAGTCTGGCTAAAGGCTTCCAACAGCCTAGAAGAAATCAAACCTCACTTTGTCTATTTATAGATATTTCTTTTTTTATAATTTTTTATTACTAAGTTGTAGTACAGAAGATTTACAATATTATACTAGTTTCAGATGTACAGCACAGTGATTCAGTATTTTTTCAGATTATACTCCTTTGAATGTTATTATACAATAATGGCTCTAATTCTGTATCTGATACAATATAAACTTGTTGCTGTTTACACATAGGAGTCTTTAATCTCTTAATCCCATACACATAATTTGTCCCACCACACTTCTGTCTCTCCTTTGGTAACCACCAGTTTTTTTTCTATATTTGTGTAGCTGCTAAGTTGTGTCCGACTCTGAGACGCCATGGACTGTAGCCAGCCAGGCTCCCCTGTCCATGGGATTCTCCAGGCAAGAATACTGGAGTAGGCTGCCATTTCCTCCACCATATAGATACTTCTAAAAGCAGGTCATGGGAGCAAAATGTCTGCTCTCTGCTTTAAAGCTAGCATTATAATGAGCCGTGCTGGTCATTTAAGCATTGAAATTATTCCCTAATCCTTGGATTTCTGTAATACACATCATTTTGTGGCTGCAATGCAGTGCTTTTCTCACTGTAAAATAATCTCTTGTTATAAAAGCAATGAATCAGAGCTTGACTTATGAACAGGAGCAAAGGAGGCAAATGCTCCCTTGGGACATGAAATGTTTGTCTACCGGTGGCAGATTCCACCTCTAAGGGAGGCACTAAATCTCCAAGGAGAAAGAAATACTTGCCCTATCTCCAGTCTTCCCAGAAGGCCAGTGCTCATGGTGAACCAGGTTGGATTAGTCTATAGGGTCCTCTGTGCCCAGATGTAAGGGGAAGATGTTTACTAAAACACTATCACTTAACCAGCCCCTTGCACTTCAGAAAACAGCATATATGGCCTCAAAGTCACCTGTCCACATTTGATCACATCCCTAGCTTTCTTTTTTAAAGTTCCCTGACCAGGGATTGAACTTGGGCTGTGGTAGTGAAAGCACCAAGTCCTAACCACTGGACCACCAGGGAATTCCCCCTAGCTTTCTTTATATAAGCACAGAATTGACATACGTTGCCTTTGAACAATGAGTTGGAAGGCTGTGTTAATGAAATATGCTTACCAAATGCCAGACAGAACTCATTCTGTCTTGGCTTAAAAGGGCTATCCTCTTGTAATATTGGCCCTGGTTCATGGATGGTAAAGACAGAGCACTTCCCTAAGGTTCTTTGCCAAGGCAGCCTGATCACTTTTCCCACATGCAAAAAAGGGAGAAGGGCACTGAAGGAGAAAGTGTCAAGAAGTCAAGGGGCATTAGGGTGGCAAACATCATGTGATCATGTGGTAGACATGGGGTGGACTACAGCCCACACCCTTGGCTTTGATGATGACTTCCAAACATTTATCAAAGGATCAGACAGCTCTCCTTGGTTATCTCCTGGACCTATGTTTTCTCCTATGTAGTCTATTTCAAGGATATGTACCATCAACTTTCCCAATTTCCCAAGCTAGAAATCTAGAAGTCATTCCAGATACTTCTTGTTTCAATGTCCCCCATCCAGCCTGTTACCACATCCTATTGACCCAGCCCCCATATAATATCTTTGATCTACCTTGGGTGGACACTGTGGATAGACCCAGCCAATCTCCATTCAACTCTGCTTCTAGGGTGCAGTGCCTAAAAAGCAACAGGGGCCTCTAAAAAGCTGGACTTGAGACTCCTCAGTGCAGCAGTCAAACACATACACTCTTCTCTCCAGTGACGCAGTCTCCTGCTCTGCACAGCCTCCAGCTCAGCTCTTTCCCAAGACAACAGCTCTGCTAATGCTCTGCTGTCCTCATTCCCTGTAAGCTGGCAATGGGATCAGCAGGGCAAAACTCTGCTGGGGACACTGAGTTATTTTCTTCCGTCTGATTTCTACTTGCTGGGCTGCTTCAGGAAGCCCAGACCCCAGGTCTTCTGACAACAATAAGCATTTTATCACTACTGTAGGAAATTTAGAATTTACTCTGGGTCTCCAGCCACTATAGCTAATCTGACTAACTAGTGCTGCTTCCAGACTGCCAGATGGTAGGACAATGCAAGGTTGAGTACAACCTACAAGATGGGTGGATTTTTCTAAACATTATAAAGCAGATGTGGAAAATCTCAGTGTATGTAGGAGAGGGTTAAAGGAGAAGGTTCTACTGGCCCATACTCTGCACTCATGGGACAGAAGAAATGCATCAAAATCTTGCTCATTCGCAGGCTAGGAATACTTATTCAGTCAACTGACATTAGTTGGAAGGGAGGGCAGAGTTAAGTGCAGCTCAAAAGAGGTGTTGACACGGCAATTTATTATCATTAAGACACAAACTCTTGGAAGAAATCCACCTATCAAATATGATAACAGCAAAAAATGCCACAGTCTTCCCTGGATCAGTTTTGTTTTAGATTTCAGAATGGTAGGTGGGAACATGAAGAAAAGTCTGTTGCATCTAAACAGAATTTGAATGGCATGCAAGCAGGATGTAGAGCACATTGCTAGCACATCGTGCTAAGCACATTGCTTACCTTGCGAACACTGGTCAAGAAATTTAGGAAAGAGGAATCTACAGAGAGAAAAGAAATATTTAAAACAATTAGTCTCAGAATTTTCACTGATTTCTCACAAAACTTTGACTATCACTAACATACAAAATGGCTTACTCAGTGGGGCAACTGGCAGGCAACACTGAACATCAAGGATAGCCATGGTTATACAAAAGGTATTCATAGTTTTGAACCAGAGTTCCCTAAGCCAGAAACCCTAAAGAAGTCCCAACATAGCCAATTCTTGGTAGAATGTTGAACAGGAGATCCCTGTTCAACACCCAAGACTATAGGAAATGGAGAAAGAGAGATTGCTCTTTTTCTTTTACCCTGAAGAGGGACTGTCCTGTTAGTAAAGGGGAACTTTCAAGGGAAAATGAGAAAAATTACATTTGCCTAATTCTGCCAAGGGCCTTCAACAATGAAGTTGCCATATTTCCTGTTATGTGCACAACTAAATCCGGGTTCCCCTTTAATCTTTTTTAAAAAGCATTTGTTTATTTATTTGGCTGTGTCTGGTGTTAGTTGTGGCAGGTGGGATCTTTCATTATGGCATGCAGACTCTCTAGTTGTGGCGCACAGGCTTAGATGCTCCATAACATGTGGGATCTTAGTTCATGGGTCAGGGGTCAAACCTGCATCCCCTGCATTACAAGGAGGATTCTTAACCACTGGACCACCACAGAAGACCCTGCACACTCTTTAACCTTATTCTAAGCTCAAATGGTGAATGAAAAGTAGGAAACTGACTGAACAGATTGAGGGTGACTAATTCAAAGTATGAGTTAACAACTGTAGCTCTATAGTAAGCTCTAGGGAAAAACTCAATATTCTTAGTGTTTTAAAACTTCTAAAACACCACAGTGCTCTTCTTGGTGAAGAAAGCCAATACTAATGAGAACAGCTATCTTTTATCAAAGGCTTTTACCATGGACTGGGCCCTGGGCAAGCAGTTCACATATACAATTTTATTCTCACATCCACCCTGTGCCTTGGGTACTTAAAAGCTGCAAACAGTGGGTTCATGGTGGCTAAGCAAGCTAAGCACTTGGCCCAAGGTCCTACATGCAGCTAGGAAATGGGAGGGTTTACACAGGGGCCCAGGTTTGTTTAACACCACAAAGCTCCTGTGTTGTCTACACCTGCAAATAAGATGCTAACTGAAGTCACCCTCTGAATTACTGCCTGTCTAGTTGGCAGGTATTAATGCTGTTCAAAACACTTAGGAGAGTTTTTCTCTTGCAATTTCCTTGGTGGTGGCAAATCTTCATCTTTTAATTTGATTTCTGACAATGGTCAGACACACACCATTTGGAACCAAATTTGGTGGATGAGTGAGCCACTTGGGTAAGTACAACTTTGGGCTGTGGATCTAGTTCACCTGCCTGATTCCTTCACGGTTTCTAAAGAATGCCACAAAGGAACCCCGATGTGCTCTGAATAAGGTTAGGAGCCCCAGAACAAAGGGAGAGAGATCCTCACTTGAGTCTCCCAAGAATAGAGCTCACTGACTTCACTGCACTCATAGTCCACTGAAGGGTCAGCTTCAGAGCAAATGTATTCTTTAAAAAAATGATTTATTTTTGGCTGTGCTGGGTCTTCATTGCTATGCACAGGCCTTCTCTAGCTGTGCTGAGTAGGGGCTACGCTCTAGTTGCAGGGTGCTGGCTTCTCACTGCAGTGGCTTCTCTTGTTGCACAGCACAGGCTGTAGGGCACTTGGGCTTCAGTAGCTGCAGTGCTCAGGCTTAGTTGCCCCATGGCCTGTGGAATCTTTCCAGACCAGGGATTGAACCTGTGTCCTCTGCATTGGCAGGCAGATTCTTAACCACTGGACCGCCAGGAGAGTCCACAAATGCATTCTTAGAAAATGTCTGTCTCCATCAAGTAAGTGCCTGTAACTATTTTTTAAATTTATTTATAATTGGAGAATAACTGTACAATGTTGTGTTGGTTTCTACCATGCATCAACATAAATCAGCCATAGGTATATATATGACCCCTCCCTCTGAAAACTCCCTCCCACCTGCCACCCCATCCCACCCCTCTAGGCTGTCACAGAGCACTGGGTTGAGCTTCCTGGGTCATGCAGCAAATTCTATCTATTTTACACATGCTTCAGTGCTACTCTCTCAATCTGTCTCCCTCTCTCTCTCCCTCACTATGTCCACAAGTCTGTTCTTTTTTTTTTTTTTCATTTATTTTTATTAGTTGGAGGCTAATTACTTTACATCATTGCAGTGGGTTTTGTCATACATTGAAATGAATTAGCCATGGATTTACATGTATTCCCCATCCTGGTCCCCCCTCCCCACAAGTCTGTTCTTTATGTCTTTGACTGTACTGCTATCCTACAAATAGGTTCATCAATACCATTTTTCCAGATTTCCAATATATGCGTTAGTGTACATTTGTCTGTCTCTTTCTGACTTACTTCACTCTGTATAACAGGCTCTGGTTTCATTCACTTCACTAGGAACTGACTCAAATTCATTCCTTTTTATGGCTGAATAGTGTTCCATTGTATATATGTACCACAACTGCTTTATCCATTCATCTGTCAATGGACAGCTAGACTGCTTCCATGACCTGGCTTCTGTAAACAGTGCTGCAATGAACACTGGGGTACATGTGTCTTTTAGAATGGTTTTCTCAGGGTACATGCCCAGTAGTGGGACTGCTGGATGACATGGTAGGTTTTATTCCTAGTTTTTAAAAGAAATTTCCAAACTGTTCTCCATTGTGGCTGTGTCAATTTACATTCCCACCAAGAGGATTCCCTTTTCTCCACATCCTCTCCAGCATTTATTATTTGTAGGTTTTTTGATGATATTCCTGTGACTTTACAGTACATGCCCTTAAAAGCCCTTCTCAGTGTCCTGCTTGCTTTCCCGCAGTAGCGCACAGCAATTCATACCAGTAGCATCTGAGATGAATGTTCCCTCTCAATGCATCTTATCCAGTCACAGGTTGAAAGCTCATGTTTTAAACCTCTGACAGGTTAGAGGGTCATTAAGCTACTCACTTGAAAGAGCTGCAAAGAAAATACTCTGAACACAGGGACTTGCACATTTATGCAGCTTCTCATAGAGATATCACTGTTTTTAACAATTCTTGTAAAATTACATGAAATTTTTATTATAGTACTTCCTACCCCATATCATGATTGACTGTGTACATGCCATGGATGTGGCATTTGGAAAATTATTTAACTTTTCTGAGCATCAGCTTCCTCACGGTAAAACAATGGTAATGATGCTTACCTTAAATGCCTCCCAAAATACTTAAAGGGGATTTTGAGGACTGAAAGAGGTAAAGCATCACAGTGTCTAAAAACAGCAGAAAACAAATGATAGCTCAATTCCTTTCCTTCTATACATATCATCCGCCTTCCTAAATTGTAATATATATATTTTCCCCCTCTTTTGCATTACAAGGCAGATTCTTAACTGGACCACTAGGAAAGTCCCTAAACTGTAATATTACTGAAGACAGACAATAACAAGTACTGGTGAAGACATGGAGAAATGGGAACCCTCATATACTGCTGGTGAGGATGCAAATGGTGCAATGGCTTTGGATAACAGCTTGCAGTTCCTCCAAAAGTTAAATAGTTACTATATGACCCAGCAATTCTACCGGAGAACAGAAAACACATGACCATATTAAAACTTAAACATAAACATTCATAGCAGTATATTTGTGATAGCCAAAAGATGTAAAAAACTCTAATGTCCATCAACTGAGGAGTGGATAAAAAAGATGTGATATATCCATACAATAGAGTATTTGTCCATAAAAAGGAATGAAACACTGACACATGTCACAACATGGATGAACCTTTAAAGAAGCCAGGCACAACAGGCAATATATGAAAATATCCAGAATAAGCATATCCATGGAAACAGAAAGTAGACTAGTTGCCAGGGATTGGGGAAAAAAAGAAATGGGGAGTGACTGAAAGGGACATTTTAAAACAGTGAATTTTATGATATATGTATTACATTTCAATAAAGCTGTTATGTTAAAAGAAGCAATATACATGATACTATAAAATATCAAATGTTTTACACATCATCCAACATCTGCCCTCAAGGAACTAACCATGTCCCAGAAGAAACCGCTATTCACAGTTTGGGATGTATTCTTCCAGATATTTTCTATGTTTAGTCAAATAGACATTTAAAGAATGCATATTGTTTTGGTAATTTCCTTTTCTCACTTCACAAAGTATTATGGGCATTTTCCATATCAGTACATAAAAATCTACCTAATTAAAAAAAAATGCCTGCATAGTATTCCATTACACATGCTCATTCGCTAAGTTGTGTCTGAATTTTTGTGACCCCATAGGCTATACCCTGCCAGGCTCCTCTGTCCATGGAATTTTCCAGGCAAGAATACTGGAGTGGGTTGCCATTTCTTTCTCCAGGGGATCTTCCCAACTCAGGGATCAAATCTACATCTCTTGCATCTCCTGCACTGGTAGACGGATTCTTTACCACTGTGCCACCTGCTTCCATTATATGAATATCCTCAAATTGAACCAGTCACTTACTAATGAGCATTTGGGTTATTTCCATTTGATATTATTAACATTATTGTCTTGAACACTGTAGAGCCCATCTATTATATTTCAGACTGCCAATACCTTCTAAACACTTTTCCCAGACTTGGACTGAGGAAGCCTGTCCTCAAGTAAATGGCAGAAAACTGCTTTTCTGGCCTTTCCTGCAATCTGGTACAAGCATGTGCCCTAACGAGACTTTAAGTGAATGAGGGGATGTAAGGGAAGCAGACTCCATTTTCTGGTGGAAGAAGTGACTGAGATAGCCTCAGACAGCCTGAGGGGGATCTCACTGGGGCAGCCCTACAGGAAGTTTGAGTGTTCCACCTGGATGCCTCATCAACACAGTTAGACCCTCCTAGACGCTTTTCAAGCTATATTGTCCATTAGTAAATTCCTCCGCAACTAAACATGCTGGAGTGGGCTCTACAGTTCAGAATTAAAAATTCTGCCT